AGGAGAGAAGAAAAAGGGAAGATTTGAAGTCAAAGATTTGAGAATTGAAGTAAACCAAGCAATTATTGTATTTGAAGACAATACAACCTCTATCCAGATGGCGACAACTGAAAAAATGCGAAGCAGAAGTAAGCACGTAGATATTAAATATCATAATGTCAGAGAATCAATAAAGGAGAAATTAATTGAGTTACAATATTGTGAGTCAGAGAGAAACATAGATACTCTTACAAAACCCCTGAATGTACAGAAACACACAAAAATAACAGAAAAGCTGGGAATACATTCTGGTCAGACCTTAAATTTGGAGGGGTGTCAAGGAAAATTGCAGGCCTGAGCAGAATGGAGTGTATTAATGAGAAGCCATAATGATCAGGTGTGCTGAAACTGAGTCAGGATGACTCAGCAGTGATGATGTAATCCAAGGATGATGCAACCCAGGGATGAGATAATGTGTAACCTGATTGGTTCTGTATATGTATATATGAATGATTGTACAGTTAGTTGTATCTTCACCTGCTTGAAGATCGCATCTACTCGTAATACTGCCAGACTGCTGTATATTTGCTGTAAATACACTTTGCTGAAGGAAATGCTGCTGGACTATGTGTGAGTTATTCCTGGACTGCCTGAACCATCAAATACTTTGCTAAAACCGTTATTTCTGCTGAGAAAACTGACAAATATGTATTTCAGAGAGGGAAGGGCTATATGCTGAGGGAAGAAACAATGAACTTTTGGAGAGAAAATGGATTGAATGAATTGTAAAAATATTATTAATGCTAGCACTGAGGGTGAAGGTAGCACTAGTGTATTATATAATCGTATTTTATTGTGGTGTTAGGTTTATGTTGTTTAGGTTGAATATTTGTTTAATAAATTAAAGAAAAAAGAAAAAAGAAACAGGACCTGGTCAGTCTTCTCCAAATTTGGTATAGAAGCCCATACTGTCAACTATCACTCTGTTAAAGATGTTCCTAATTCAAGAATCTATTTAAAAGTAATAGCTTTTTGTTTGGATTGCTCCCAGACCAAGTCCCTTATGAATACACAGAAGAAGTGAAGAAAAGATTTAAGGAAATAGTTTGGTGGCCAGAGTGCCTGAAGAACTATGGATGGAGGTTCGTAACACTGTTTAGGAGGCAGCAACAAAAACCATCCCAAAGAAAAGGAAATGCAAGAAAGCAAAGTGGCTGTCCAACTAGGCCTTCCAAATAGCAGAGAGGAGAAGGCAAACAAAAGGCAAGGGAGATAGGGAATGTTACAGAAAATTGAATGCTGACTTCCAAAGAATAGCAAGGAGAGACAAGAGAGCCTTCTTAAATGAACAGTGCAAAGAAATAGAGGAAAATAATAGAAAGGGAAAAAACCAGAGATCTGTTAAAGAAAATTGGAGATATTAAAGGAACATTTTGTGCAAAGATGGACATGATAAAAGACAAAAATGGTAGGGACCTAACAGAAGCAGAAGACATCAAGAAGAGGTGGCACGAATACACAGAGGAATTATACCAGAAAGATCTGGATGTCTCAGACAACCCAGATAGTGTGGTTGCTGACCTTGAGCCAGACATCCTGGAGAGAGAAGTCAAGTGTGCCTTAGAAAGCATGGCTAACAGCAAGGCCAGTGGAGGTGATGTCATTCCAGCTGAACTATTTAAAATCTTAAAAGATGAGGCTGTTAAG